TAAAGATACTTATTTAACACTGCTAAGCGTTGGAAGAACCTCCAATGCTATCTTGAGCGTGGTGTCTCTATGTACTGTAGTACTRATAAGTGTTGATCGATTGCTTGCTATCAGACTTAAAATCAAATATCGKCATGTTGTTACCACGAGAAGMGTTGTACATTCACTTTTACTCATTTGGARKASCGTCACTTTGGTMCAGATCCTGAATAAWTCGTTCAATATTTTCACTCCCACATCAGTTCGCTTGCTTTTTGGTATSGGTGGATTTGTTTTAATCTCTTTTGTAACGGCAAGTTACTCGTTGGCCTTCTATACCTTGAGGAAATTGAGGTCTACAATTTCCCCGAATCAGACCTCATCATTTAATATTGCAGCTTATRGCAGGTCTTTTCACACCATGTTCATGGTTTTCGTGGCTCTWATRCTCTCATATTTGCCGTACTCTTTACTTCTTGTGGTAATTACTTTTGGTGAAGACTTTGTCTTAGATAAAGAAATTGTGTATATCAGTTTCACATCGAGTGAAGTTGCCATTGGTTTCAATTCCACTTTAAACCCTTTGCTCTACTTATATCGTATCAAAGAAGTCTACATTGCTGTAAYGAGAAATGTTCTCAAGATARATACYGCAYATGGTTCACATGGCAACAGAGAAGAAATCAACCAGACACCTTAAATTACAATCTCACTTTGATTTCATCTTGCATGAGATATGCAACTATATTATACACCCTTTTAATAAGTCCCGAGATTTTGCGTTCTCCGCACTTGACGTCAAATTTATTCTTTTGAAATTTTTTACAATACAAAAGGAATTCAAAAGAATAAATTTGACGTCAAGTGCGGAGAACACAAAACCTCGGGACTTATTAAAAAGGTGTATAAGAGGTTCATTTTAGTTCCCAGCCTCTAGAGGTGACGCTTCATTACTTAGCTCTTTTGGGATCCCTCGGGTATACTTTTAGCCGTGCGATGCCATTAGGTCATAAAGTGGGCCACAGTCTCCTTTGGTTATTTAGGAAGACAGGAAGCCCAAGACTAAAAAGACATGCGGAAATTAAAAGACTTCTGCGGAGGATGCAGGGACAGTTAACACYGRTAATGCAAACTGTCAATCATATGCCTTCAGATGATCCAATCTTATCAATACCCAAACTAACTTTCGGACGTGCATTCGCATTGTTCTTAGTCAACCTT